CCCCCAGAGCTGCCCCAGGGTCTCCCCTGTCCTGGCTGGAGCCCCCCAGAGCTGCCCCAGGGTCTCCCCTGTCCTGGCTGGAGCCCCCCAGAGCTGCCCCAGGGTCTCCCCTGTCCTGGCTGGAGCCCCCCAGAGCTGCCCCAGGGTCTCACCTCTCCGTCAGCCACTGCAGAGTAGTTCACTTGTGCCACGGTGACCGTGGTGGGCAGCTCGGAGGCGTCGGCCAAGGTGGCCACCGTGGCACCGGTGCCAACCTGAGGGACACGACAAAACGGGGCTGAAAACACCAGTTGTTGCAGGAGAAAGTCCATAAAATTCAGGTGAAGAGACACTCAGGTTGAAAAAGCAAAGGATAAAGGGTTTCATGGTGAGGGTGGTGTGAGATGCTGGCATGGGTCACCCAGGGAGGCTGTGGGTGCCCCAGCTCTGGGAGTGTCCAAGACCAGGCTGGGAGAGCTGGGGGGGTTCACCTGGAGAAGAGAAGGCTCCAGGGAGACCTGAGAGCCCCTTGCAGGGCCTAAAGGGGCTCCAGGAGAGCTGGAGAGGGACTGGGGACAAGGCATGGAGGGACAGGACACAGGGAATGGCTTCCCAGTGCCAGAGGGCAGGGATATTGGGAAGGAATTCCTGGTGTAAACTAAAGACCAGGGGCACAGAAATACCTGATCTGTTGATTAAACTATGTTTTATGCCATTCAAAGAGAGCAGTTCCACCACCTCTGCTCCCATGGCCAGCACAGGCCTTGTGTGGTGACACCAGGACCTGGACTTGTTTGTGAAGTGGGTTCACTAAACTCAGCTCAGATCCCTGAACTGCAGAAATCCAAGGGATGGGAGTGGGGAAGGGAGAGACAGAACTGGTTCTCTGGGTGGGAGTGTTGGGTTAACAAACCTGAGGGGCGAGACCTGCAGATAAAGCCAAAACTCCCGACGCAGGCAATGAAATCCCGAGTCAGCCGTGCTGGGAACGGGAAATGCAGGGGGTGCCACTCACCTGGATGAGGGACACGGTGCCATCGGGGTTGCTGAAGGTCTGTACCACGGTCTGGGAGGGCACCAGGTGGGCGATGCTGTGCGTGGTCGTGGTCTGCGGGGTCTGCTGGTCCTCGAAGGCGTAGAGCAGGTCCTCGCGCCCGTGCTGCTTGTAGCAGTTCTTCACGATGGTCCTCAGGGCCTGGGTCCAGGACACCTGCCAGCACCAGGGGATGAGGGGAGAGTCAGGGGGGAAGGGTTTCTGAACCGCTGGGGCTTGAGTGTTTATCTTTGATGGGGTTTATTGGGTGGTTTGGAACCAACGCGCAAACAAAAGGCCTCACTAAGTAATCCCTGTCTCCTCATCCCCTCCTTTGTCCAGGACTCAGGAATCACCCTGGAGGGCAACAGGATCTAGGGAAGATGTCCCTGCTCACTGCAGGATGAGATGACCTTTAAAAGGGCCCTTCCAACCCAAACCATTCATGTAGAAAACCACCCCGATTCAGGAAAGCACCGACTGCCACAGCACCACTTCCAGCCCCACCTGGAACCCCTCCCCATCCAACGTGTCCTAAATCACCCCACACAAGTCCTGCTGCCTCCACACCACGGTGGCTTCCTCTGAAGACCTTAGTGACAGAAAAATCACCTGTGTGGTGGCATCCACGGCCACAACTGGCACCCACCACCCCTTCACCCAGCTCTCTCCCTTTTCCCCTGCACTATTTCCCTTGAGCACAAAGGTCCCTCCTGCTCAGGACGGGACAGTCTCCCTTCCAAGACTCTTCCTCCTGCCGCTCAAGGTCAGAACTCCTCCCAGAGCTCTGTCTGCAAGCCCCTGTGCTCAGCTGGAGGGCAGCCAGGGGGGACACTCACCCGCTGCTTCTGCTCCTCCGTGCGGACGTCGCTGCGGACGTTGGCCCAGGGAATGTCCTCGGGCCACCAGATGGGTTTGCAGCTCTCCTTGCCCCAGCCCGGCTTCCCACGGCCCGTGGAATACTTGAGCATCTCGGGGATGAAGGCTCTCAGCTGTGCCTGCAACAAAGCACAGCAGAGGGGTGATTTCTAGGGTCTTGCATCTCTGGTGGTTTTGAGGTGCTTCAAGGTTATCACACGGTGCAAAGTTACTCCGTTTGACTTCCATCCTGTTGGAGCCAGCAACTGGGAGAGGCCTGAATGCCTAAGGCAGATGGACAGTACCTTACTATCTCCCACATTCAGCTTAGAGTCTGGGAAGAGCAGAAACACAGTCAAGCCAGCTGATTACAATAAGAAGGCACAAACACATGTTGTGTTAACACACTTCATGGTTAAACTCTACCATGAAGAGAGCAGGCCAGCCTCAAAGGGAGAAAATTAATAAACAGATCAGAATAAGGCAGAAAACCCCCCAGAATGTCCTCAAAGTGGCAGCAGCTCAGACATCTCACGCTTCTCCACCCCTGTGTTGCCAAAGAAATTACAAAACCCACACAGGGTTTTATGACACAATTGGGTTTTGTGCCAGGGATTCCTTGGAGTGTCAGGAAAAGGCTGGCTCAGCTGCAGAACGGAGCAGGAAGAGAAGGAGCTCTCACCTCATGTCACAGAAAATCACTTTATCTTAAAGCTTCAAACCTGCATCCTTTTTGAGCTTTTATATTTATTTCATAGACTTGTGGGATCCTTCTGGTTGGAGAAGACCTTTAAGGTCATGGAGTCCAACCATTGCCAGCTCTGCCAAGGCCACCACTGACCATGTCCCCAAGTGCCACATCCACAGGGATTGGAAATCCCTCCAGGGTGGGCACTCCAGCCTGTTCCAAGGCCTGACTGCCCTTTCCAGGAACAAATTCCCCCAATATCCAACCTGAGCCTCCCCTGGCACAGCTTGAGGCCGTTTCCCCTTGTCCTGTCCCTGTTCCCTGGGAGCAGAGCCCGACCCCCCCCGGCTCCCCCCTCCTGGCAGGGACTTGCAGAGCCAGAAGGTCCCCCCTGAGCCTCCTTTTCTCCAGGATGAGCCCCCCCAGCTCCCTCAGGAGTTCTCCAGGAGTTCTCTCCCAGCTCCCTTCCCTGCCCTGCACACACTGGTGTATCCATTGGCTCCAAGCTGGACATGAACTCATTTCCAAGCTGCCTTTCCCACATTACATATGGAA